TTTGGTGCATCCAAACTGCTCCATCAGACCGTCCATCAATGACGAAGGTACTTGAAATGCTAAAGGGAAGTCTTGAATCGATAGAAGTTCCACCAAAGCCATTCTTGTTTTCTCCTAGGATGCCAGCTCCAAATTTTTCCTCGTCAGTGTCAACATAGCTAGATAGTGAAAGTTAGCTTAGGCTAAAAATAGTGTCTAACATTGATGCTTAGGAGATCATTTCTCATAATTGTCACGCTCTTTGTCTATGTTAATTTGGCTTAGCCCTTGTTTGATCCACATTATTTTTTTCATTCTCATTCTTTTACTCATTTTCAACCACATATTCTTCAATAAAATAATATTTTCCATCACTTCAATAATATTTCCTTCTTTTTCAACCATATATTCTCCATCACATCACTTCAAAAAAATGTATTATCTCATTTTAATGTGCACCAAACGGACTCTTAATGATGACAGATTTTTCAATGCAATTTAGGAATTTTATATAAAACCATTAAGGCCTTGTTTGTTTCTCAAGGAAATGAAATTTTCTACTGTTGGAACAGTAAAAGAGCCGCAATTTTGAACTTTTTTGTGAGACGGTGGGACCCACTTCTTTGACTTTAACGGTCAAAAAAATCATTCTTTTGTGTAGATAATGGGAAACAAAAAGGGGCTAAACAAGTCCATTTGAAGCTTCTAATTTGTTTGAAAAACTGCACAGAGTGACAAGATTTGTCAATTCTCACCTGCTTTACGTTATATCAAGGTAAAGAAAAAAAAAACTTCGTTAATTAATATTACGTTCAAAGACATTGAATTTAGGCATTGCACCTTCAACATCAACTTGACTTATTCCAAACCTCTCTACAACCACGAATCTATGCCCTTCTCCTTAATTCTAGTATTATATGTACACCATTTTCAAGGCTTGAAGATAACAAAATCCTTTGCATTTTTCACTTTTCCAAAAAGATTGAATCCATGCATTAAATACAAGTTCATGTTTACCTCTCTAAATTAGACATATTAACTAATATATTTTATAATTGAATTAAATTCAGTACAATCAAATACAAATTAATATGAGATCAATACCTAGCTCAAAAAAGCATAATGAAAGTCTTGCTAAATCAGTGACCTAAGTTTGAATTTTATTTAGGAGTGAAATTCCAAAAATTAAAATTTTAAATGTATGTAATAAATGTGTGTAAGCACATATTATGTATGTATATTTTTCGATTGCTACAATTGAGTTGTACGTCTTTGAATGTATATTTTTCGATGGCTACAATTGAGTTGTACGTCTTTCTCTAAAATTTTCTCTTATTTTTTGTTTTCTTGGATGATAGTAAGTAACTACGTTATGAGATGGTTCGAGTAGGAAAAAAGTAGGGCAAATTATTTCATCTTTGGAGAGTTTTGACACCTACAACTAAGAATTAGAGAATGAATGGAAATCATTCGAATAGTTATAGGGATAACACACATTGATGAAGCTCCTACACATAAAGTCCTCTTGATTGAAAAGCAAGATCACTAGAAGCATATTTTCAATGAACAAAAGTTTAATTTTCTTTACTTACTTTGGGGCGGATATATGGGTTGGTGGGTCAAGTCAACTTGTTTATGATGAGAATTTGGTTCGACCCATTTTCTATATAGATTAATATGGGCCACACTTTGGGCTAAAAGAGCCCAATTTACCTTGACGGATCCCAAACCCCATCTTCCAGTAAAAATCCCAAAAATTATTTGCTTACTCTTAGTAATAGCAGCATAGGAAAAGTGAACATTTTGAGTGATATTTATAATTCCCTAAAATCAAGGAAAAATCATTAATGTTTTTCCATTGGAAATAATAATTCGTAAATATAGATGTGTTCTCTAGTAGTGTTTGACGGATTAACTCTCTAGTAGTGTTTGACGGATTAACTATGTTGAAGGATGGACGAATAATAACGAAGGACTCGCAATTTTAATTTGTACTTGTTATTTTAAAATCTTCGTAAAGCTTTGTAATCCACTTGACTAGTGTGATTCCTGATAGGTCAATATAAATGCTGAATAATACAAGTTCAAATCAAGGAACTGCAAGCATTTGGGTGAAAAGTAGGGATATACAGAAGATTTGAAATTTTGAAGGCAGAGACGACGGGACACCAATGTATGGGAAGCTTCGTTGAGCCCCATTTTTGAGAATATATTTGTAAAAGTGATTTTTTATAAGAATGTGTGACTAAAAAGTATGAAATTTTTTTGGATTTTATGTGCGGAAGTATTTTGTCTGGCCAATGTGCGGTAAAGAATGAATTTCAAACAGGGGCTAAGTTCTAAGTAGCACGGAGACTTTCAATGTAATTGAATGCCCTTTGAAAATTGATAAATAAATTATAAGAAATATTTCGAGAACTAAATAAATGCTCCCTTGTTAAAAAGAAAAAAAAAAACTGTCCGAAATCATAAGAAAATTTTCAGTTAAAAAATATTAAATTTTTTTTTATTTAAAATGAACCTTAAAACTTAATTGTAGACTTTAGCCCTTCCACTAAAACGCTAAGAAGACAGGCATTATTCAAACAAAAAGGTTGGTGTATCTATTTACATATGCAACTTTTCAAACGTTTAATAATCTAAAACAGAACGCTATAGACAACTAGTCAAATTTTCTAGGCACGCTTGATATCTTATCCTTCCGTTCCCCCAGAATTGAGGTGCAAAACATGAAGGTCGCTATCGGTGCTTAAAGGCACGATAGAGGCTGGGCAAGCAGGGCACAACTGGGTCAAATTTCACAGGCCATGCTGTTCTTTTCCTTACTATACTCTGAGTGAATAAAAAATGGCTTGGGAGACCCAAGGTAGGCACAACCTACCTTTTCAAACACTCGTTTTCGCCGTGTTGCCAAATTCAACCAAATTGTAAGTCAGATAAATGACAACAAGTACTCCACCAGGTCAACCAAAAGGAAATTACTGAAAGTAATGAAATTTGCAGTGATCTTTCCACTTCAATTTCCATATTAGGACAAATCCAAGATGGGCAATGACTATAATTTTGCAATATCATTAAGTCAAATAGAAAATTTAGCCATTGTCTGATTGTTCAAAATTCTAAATATTGAAAATGTCAACAAATCATTCCAGTGATTATATGATTATTGCTTCAACGAAATTTTACCAAAACCATTCACATATCTTATAAAGTTATCTATTCAAACTATGATGAAAAAAACCGGCTAAATGTTTCCCCAACCTCCCTTGTATGTTCCCTTTAACATTAGCATCATTGCAATAATTCTTTCAGTGGTTCCCGCAATTTTGTCAGCAGATGATGCACGATACCTACAGTGTAGTCACCAGTTTCAGTGTGGGGGCATGAAAAATATTAGCTATCCCTT